AGCTTTTTCATGCGTCATATCCGAAAAGACACAACTGTTAAAATGTATTATAACAGACTCCCCAAACTGTTAAAAATGTATTATAACAGACTCCTCAAACTTTTAAAAATGTATTATAACAGACTCCCCCCAAACTGTATTATAACAGACTCCATATAAATTACCCAAACCACAGACAAGAATCACTAATAATAATACAGTATAAAATAACCGCATTAAAAATGTCTTTAATTTTAAAACACGAACAAAAAAAATTCGAAGGAGACGGTTTCTTCTCTGCGCTAACATCTTTCATCCCCAAAGTGGCCAATTTTGTCTCAAACAACAAATCCCTCATTTCCTCAGAAGCGCAAGCTCTTGGATCTGTGGCAAAAGCAGGAGTAAATATAAGCGACGCAGTGAAAAAATCTGACGAACTTAAAGAACTGCAGTTAATAAGAGAACTAAGAAACAAGAGACTAGAACGACAAGCCCTAGAAAAACAAGGAAAAGGGTTTAAAATCATTGGATAAAAAATGGCAAGCAAAAATTAGAGATTCAGCGAAATGGTTTTGGAAGCTGGTTCAAATCCGATAGAGACCATAAAACACCCCGGCGAGTTTGACACAATGTTGAAAACGGTTCTGTATCCCAAAAACTACGATTCAGTTTCGGGATGGATTCCCGATGTCGGTGAGGGAGAAGTTTTAAAAGAACCGGTCAGAACTGTAGCAAATGACGCAGACCTTGCTAGGATAAGGGTAGTTGCTAGAAACACACTGGAAAGAGTGACTCGCGGAGTAAATCACGGATTTGAAAAACGAGCGCTTCAATACAACAATGTCGTCGAGAACAACAGATGGGGTAATTACGTAAATTGGAAGTTGTATCCTTTATTTGGTCTCTTGGAACACAGAAAGGTTTCCATAGGTTTACCGTATAAAATTCATTTGCAAAGAGAAATCAACGACAACAAGATATTCTTTGGTGAAAACAACTCTGACGCAAAATTGGAAATAACGAATATCCAACTTTACATACCGGTAATCACTCCTTCCGTAGAAGTGGAAACGAGAATATTCAACTCTTTAACCAAAGACATCGAAATTGCTTTTCTTCGTCGTAACACGGTAGGTAGCATGACTTTGACGGGAGCATCCACCACGTGGCCAATCACCAACACCGTCAAACCAGCGAGATATCTAATGGTCGGTTTCAAAACTTGCCAGACTCTCAGACAAACAACAACAACATTTTCAGAGTGGCATTGAACCAAGATCCAATCATTCGCAAAGTTCAAGTCAGATTGAACAACGATAATTATCCCAATCAACCTTTGACAATTGATCCTTCCAAAAAAGATTACAACGAATTGTACAGAAACTATAAAAACATGTGCGAATTGTCTGGAAATACGCCTCAGTTTGAATACACAGATAAAACACAAGGAGATGTGACCGGCTACTGTTTATTGCTGGAAGAAGTAAAACATTTGATTAAAATATCAGATAGAAGAATGATAAGAATTGAATAAAAAACACCCTTTAAAAATGAAACCAGAAACTTTAGTCAAGAAAATAATAGAAGCTATGGAAACGAATTCGCCGACTCTAATAACTTACAACGGTAAAAAAGTGCACATAACCCAAAAGATTATCGATAAATACAAACATTGCAAAGTCAGAGACGATATAGACTTGGAAAGAATTGATGAGAATTTAACTAAAAAAGGTGGATTTTTACCTTTCTTACTTTTAATCTTTGCTGGTTTAGCTGCAGCTGGTGCAACTGCTGGTGGAGCTGCTGGGATAGCCAAAGCTGTCAACAATAAGAAAGCTGAAGCCGCTGCAAACGCCGAAGCACGTAGACACAATTTGGCAATGGAAAGAGAAGCACGAGGAGGTTCGGGAGTAGGAGATATATTAGGGACGGTTAAAGAATTCGGACAAAGATTTGGCGAAGAAACCAAGAAAACCGTTAAAGAGGGATTAAGCAAATTAATAGATAAAATCGACACCGGAGAAATGAAGGTCAAACACAAGGGCGACGCCATATTCTTTAAAAACATACGTTCGGGCGAGGGAATCTTCCTTTCAAAGTATAAAGGCAACGGGGTGATTTTTGGTACGAAAATGTAATAAATAAAAATGGGCAAAAAATTTAATCATTCAGAAATATTTCCTAATAACCCAATGCTCATGTGTATATGCGGTAGTTCAGGTTCTGGGAAAACTCATCTCACTTTTAACATGTTGACAACACCAAACCTTTTAGATTTCGATTCTCTGTATATCTACACAACAACACCGGAGCAATCGTATTATCAATTCCTCAAAGCTTTGGAATATTTACCAAAGAAAGATGTTCAAGACATATTTCAATATTACGAAGAAAACGAAGAAGAGGTGGAAATAAAAGATATCATAGAAAACTTCATTAAATCAAAGAATCCAACGGATATAAAAGTTTTTCTTACGAAAAATGTTACTGATCTAGACTTGTCTAATATTGATAGCAAACGAAAGAACTTAATATTGTTTGACGACTGCGTAGCGCAAAGAAATCAAACTGTTCAACAAGAATTCTTCACCAAATGAAGACATCACAACTGTCACTGTATATACCAATCCCAATCTTTTTACGGGATGGATTCTATGTTCATTAGAAAAAATGCAAATTGTTTTTTATTATTTGAATTAAATGATAAAGATTTATCTCAAATCATTCAGTCTATAAATCACGGTATGGATAGAGATACATTTAAAAAGGTTTGTAAAGCTCAATGGAGAAACCCAGATGATCATGGATATGTATTTGTAAATACTAGAAAACCTGCGGGAGAAAGAGTTATGATCGATATATGTTAATTTTATTTTTTTAAAAATGACGGATTGGAATAATTTTTTAATAAGAAATAGAGAATATATCAAAGCTAAGAATAAAATAAAGACCCAAGTTGAAAATAACAGATTACAACAACTCGGATTAACGGAAAATCTACAGACTCTATTTCAACCCATATTAAAAAGTCAAGAAGATATTAAAAAGAGACTCGCTATAGAACCCACGCCTCGTATGGAACCCACACCTCATCACCCCAAAGCGATTGAATATAGTGGTCTTATAATTAGGACAGTAGATGATGTAAAACGTCTTTTTTCAAACCCTAGCCCAGAATTACCAAAAAGCATTTCACCAATCATTGATGAAGCGGGTTTGTTGTTCAATGGTTTTAGAATAAGATTTAGGCCAAATACCCCCGAATTTATAATCGATACA